AAAAAAAAAATTCGAAAAATACCAGGTTATTCAGGTTATTCCTGACGATGATATTCCTGACGAAATTAAATCTCCACGACATTATTCCAGCTTGACGAGGTTAGTCCTGGCGACGTTATTCCAGCCACCCGTATTTTTCAGCAAATGTTTGCAATAGCCACCCTGACAGCTTTCTGCTCTCCCATTCAGAAGACGAGGCGCCCATCTCGCAGATTTGTTGATTTGAAACAAAATTCTGCCAAGATTTCCCTTCAGAATTCTTGAACTTTTTTTGTCATTAATTCTAAGGTTTGCCGCCGTTGATTGATCAATAATTCCGCCATTTTCATCAACGGGCGCCTTCACAGCCGCCACTTGGCATGCGAATGCGGCGGTTATGGAGGCGGCCGTCGATGAAAATGGTGAAATTCCCGTGAAAGACTTGCAGACAACCATCAGAATTATTGCCATGTTGATTTCAAAAATTTGGAAATTGAAGCTGGGCTACGCCAAAAAATCTGCGAGATCTCATCTTTTGAGTAAAAGAGCAGAAAGCCGGGAGGGTGCCTTTTGCAAAATTGACTTGGAAAAATGAGTCAGAGGGCTGCATTCTTTTCATGTCCCAAAGAATGTTTTTTTTTTGTCTGAACCAAAATTGCTTCCAGCTGAATCGTGTGTCGTTTCAATTTATATTCCAAGAACTTCTGTCAGACCCCCTCGTACCGTAGTCGCAAAAATACATTCGTTCTGAAACAATCGATCAGTTGGAAGCAGCTCTGCGTCGAAAAGTCCAGGTTTTCCCTCGTGTCACCTGTTGTTGGTAACCTGGAAACGCGAATGTGTGAAGCTCATCCCTAGCTTTTACGACTGCTCTACTACTACGCATGCGTCGTGTCGAGGGTTGCTGTCGATCCAGCGTCGAGTTGAGGTCGGAAATGGTAGTTTTCCCTTCAATCGAAGCAGTTTTTGTCAGCGACATGGGCTTGACGCGCGCAACAAAAACCGTGTTGTTTGAAAAAGGAAACTGATTTTTTATTATTCATTTTTTGCGTTAGGAAAGTTGGATACAGTATATCCGTATAGAATGCTACAGAAACTCGCGAAGTGGAAATCCTTTCCTGTGACAAGTTGTGTGTTTTGAATGGTGACGTTATTGTCACGTCGAACGATATAATCTACGCACACTTCCTTGGTATTGTGTAGAGCGGCATTAGTAACTTATTTTCAACTAAGTCTACTGCACTGGAAACAATTTAAATTTGCCTTGTTTTCAAGTGACATTTATTTCAATGCTTGCTTTTTCCTACTCTGTGAAATGCTCACATTGTTTTCAGATTTTTGAGAATTCGACACCTGGAAATGCGCTTGAACTTTGTAGTGACGCGACTGAGACACTTAATTATTATGATTACAGCATACTAATTATACCGTAGCTAGCTATCAATAAATCGTTCTATAAATTCAACTCCTCGTCAGTTGGAAGTTGATGAAAGCAATTGGAGATCCGGACGATGACGATACAGTATTTTGATCGAAAGATTCGTTTTTAAATTGTGATTCAAACTCTTTTTTTTGTTGTCGTTCGGTGTGGAGAGGTTTTCTTATTGAAAAGGTTTTTTGATGAATCGAGTTCTTTTCATGAATATTGGGTGGCAATTTTGTCGGAATATTTTGAGGGGATTCAATGTTCAATGCTTTAAATTTCAGAAAATACGTGGAACTTCAGCAAGAAGAATCCCCCTTAAATGGTTCGTCGACCTTTCGGGTCTAATTACAGTTTGCGGAAGTAACTTGACTCTTTAAATTGCTTGGAATTTCCTAATCATTTTTCGAATCTCTGAAAAATAAACGAAATTCAGCGCTTGTAGAGTACAGCATTTAAAAAATTGGAAGCGTGACGGACCGTTTCGTTCTCCTTTGATTGCGATCGAGTTGTGATTGTAAAGCATGAAAATGCCTTCAAAATATTGTTGTCGTAAAATGTATCAGCCGCTTTTTTCTTTTGGCGCTCCTGTGTTATTTCTTGGATTTCTCTACGTGTTCTTAACAAGAAGTCCATGCCGAGCTGAAAAGTCGGGTATAAGTTTGCGTATTACGTTTTGGCTTAAATGTCGGAAAGCAGTCAAATAGCTTTTCCTCTCCTTGGGATGTTTGAGCACGAAAAAGTTTCTTGTTTTCTTCACAAAAAAATTGGAAACAAATTTTCTAGAGTTATTTCAATTTGTGGCACTCCCGTATTATTTTTTCCAACTGTTGATTATTTTCCCGCGAAGAATAAATTGTGAGGCTGGAAATGTGAACGTACGCTAGTCAATAATTAGTCAACTGGTATTCAGTATTTATATTCGATAGCCACAAGTTGTTACGCAAAGCGTTTCTGCTCTTATAAGCTGTTTTAATTTCGTACAGTACATAAATCGCCTTTCGAATGTTCTGACTTAAAATAGGTTCGGAAGGACGTTTTTGTGTAGCTGTTAATTTTGATAGAGAGGAAGCTTCGCAAGCATGTCGGTTCGAACCGTATTTAATCCTGCTGGACTTTCATCATCTACCACAGAGCATTCCTCTTCCGTAATTTGGGATTCCTTTTCGGAAGATATTACGCCAAGTAATTGACGAAAGTGTGGGGGGAAACTTCGGTGGATCACTTCCTTTTATCGCGCGCGATTAAAATTTTTCATCGTAAATAGAGTGAACGGGATCAACGACGTCATCGAATGTCTCCGCTTCACGACGAACGTCCAAGAAGCAACTCGCTGCTGTTGAGGAGAAAGCTACATTTGGTGTGAGCGAGAAATTGCATGACGAAGCTGGAGGGATTTATGCGGGCTGTTGATGGGAGGAAGCTGTGGCTTGATTGGATATTATTTTTATTCCTGTTTTTTTCAAAGATGTTGGGAGAAAGCTGACCATTGTTTGATGATGGAAATGCCGTCTTCCTGTTTTTAGGAGCGTTAAAAAGGTCGAGTTTATTTTTTCATAGTTTTTAATGGGATGACGGCTGGGGCGTGTTACCGCATTTGCGTGAATGTAGGCTGGACCGAAAGAAAGTATTTTAGATTATATTCCATCGATATTTGAACAAGAATGCGTTGTGTAATATCTGAGTAATCCTCTTGAACGGTTCCCACGTGACTCTCTTCGTTCAAATCCCTTCCGAATTATGTCAAAATGAAACTATTAGCGGCTTCGGTATTCCAAGTCCCGTATTTGAGTAAAAACGAAACCGAGTAAAATTTAATCTTTTAGTTGCTTCGGTATTCCAAGCCCCGTATTTAAATAAAGATGACGTTTAGTCAAATTCAAACTTTTGGTTGCTTCGGTATTGCAAGCCCGTATTTGAATAAAAATGAAACCGAGTCAAATCTAAACTTCTATCGGCTTCGGTATTCCAAGTCCCGTATCTGAATAACGATGACACTGAGTCAAATTGAAAGTTTTAGTTGCCTCGGTTTTTCAAACCCCCCGTATTCGAATGAAACTGATGAAAATGTTCCGTGTTGCAGCGGTCGATATCTCTCGAGAGTTGAAAGATGTTCTTGGTGGGGTTGTCCCAATTTCAAGCGCCTGTGATTGATTCGAAAACACCCGATTACAGAAAACGTTTTTTTTCGATGGGAATTGTAATAAATTTTATTCAAAAATTGTCCTATTCAATATTTTTCTAGGATATCGATAGCTAAGACTAAGAGAATCTAACATCTAGATTTTAGCATAGATCTAATCTAACACATAGAATTTAGCTTCATGTCCGAATTCCGCGCACCAGAGATTTTCGTTGAAAATTTTCAGTTGTATTAATTCATTTAAAATTCCTCGAGTGACGTATTTGACGAATTCAAGTGTAACATTCTTCATTAGCTGTTGACTGGGACTGTGGATGAAACATTCAAAGATACGGCTAACATACTTGATATATTCCCGTGGGAAGTGTGGGAACCGGAGGCTCAACAAGTTAACTAACTTGGTGATGAAAACCTTTATTAATTTGTTCCTTGTTCTTGAAAAACTTATCGAGTGAATTCTTGAATATAAATGAAGAAACAATGACCGATGACGATTGCAGCAAGCCGTTAAGAATTTTAATTCACCAGTTGGAAAAATTCAGGAATTTAATTTTGTTGCGGAATATTAATTCCGTGCCTTTCGAATCAATCGAAGCGGTGACCGTTTTAAAATTGCTTTCGGTTTCTTTTTCTCGCTTTCGTGATCTAGGATTGTTTGAAGTATTGAACCTTGATTTTCGGACTGTCCAACCATGGCCAATGTCGTGATCAGAAGTTCGTCTGTCTGTGGTTAAGCAGTTTAAAGGTCGCATTTATCAAAAAATCTCTCGAAGTCTTTCCACATTGGCGTATAAATTGTGCAAATAATGACCAATAATGAAGGTGATGGCGAATTGTAATTCCTTCATTCCTGAGAATTTTCGAGAATTATTCACATTAAATCATAATTTTTCTCCGATTTGAAGGTGAAGGGCCTATTTTAACGACGTGGATGAATTATTGGTTTGGATGTGCGTCATCAGTCCCTTATCTACGCTCTGAGTAGAAGCTTGCTTTTCCTATCACGAATTCGTGTACTGAGTCTTATTCTGGTTGGCCGTATGCGCTGTTCTTGGTCGAATTTGTAGAGCGGAAGGAAAGTGTGCAAATTTTCCAACGTGACGCAGAAGAAATAATGAGCCATTGTTGAGGGCCTTTTATTTCAAGCGTTCTTCGAAATTTTGAGCGAAACCAGCGGGTCGTTGTTTGTGATTTCTGTGTACGCATTTGTTTGACTGGACCTCGGTTCTGTGAGGAAATAGGGCTTTTTCTGAAAAAAATAAAATAAAAAATCCTGCGCACCGGAAATCGAAGGGAGTTTTGCGGTCGTGAATAATTCTGTTCACCGTGCTCGATAATGCGGTGCTGTAACGAAGCGGAATATTCTGCGTAAAGCATTTTGCAAGATTTCTTTCCGAATTTAGCGTTGCTCTCCTAATCTTGGGGGATGTGTTGTGAGGTTATGTTTTTGAACCTCTTTGTATCGGGAAAATAACTCTTCCGGCTATCTGGTCGACCGTCGTCGTCGAGTTCAGTGAGCTATCGTGATGATGTCATCTTTATACAGTTGAACCTCTTTTGAGTCGAACTTGGAGGGACCGGGAAACAATTTTAGTAAGGAAAGCAAGCATTTTTCTTAATGGAGAGAAAAAAAAATAAGTGAAGGAACTTGTAATGGGTGAAATTCAAGGCCTTGAATTGCTTCTTGAATGAGTTCACTGGATGCAGAATTTTAAGCAAGGATTTATTGGCCCAATTAATCTTTCACTCTCTCTCAAGAAGACATCGAGTTGAATTTTATTGCTTTTCTTCGTCCGGTGTCGATGGAATAACAGCCTCCAGCAAGTTTAAGTTATGGATGTTTGAGGACGAAAGTCTTCGATTTAAGAAGGTTTTTGATGCATTGCTTCTGAGGGAATTCGGACAGGGGACATGGGAAAAATTCGACGTAAGGAGGTTCGAGTTATCCAAGCTCAAGTGTAGTTTAATTATGACGTTGGCATCCAATCGCTGGTTTCGTGAACGTGGTGATGTTCATTGTTGGCAAACAGAATGGAATACGGTAGTGCAACATTTTGGGGAGAGTTTTGCAAATTCACATCAGCAATTCGCGAAGCGTTTCTCATCGGCCACGCTGTCGAAAATTGATGACAAGCGTTGAGTGTCGGGCTATTTCGTACTAACCTGTGATTGAAATCCACGAGCATTTTTCAACCATTTTTCGGCGTAGAGTTCAAAAAGTATTTGGGCCGGGGAAAGGGAACTTGATCCGGCGACTGCCATTCCATTCTGCGCTGACGTGAAAGTAGTCGCAAAAATTTTCGCCGAAGTACTGTACAGTATTTTGGCTCAGAAAAGCCCAATTGTTTGTACGTAGTGTACTGTATAGCAAATAATTACACTAGACACGTTTTAAATATTTTTCTGACGAATTTTTCAATTTTTTGTTCTTCTAGCAGTGGATCTTTGAACCGCAGTTCGAGCTTCAATTCGAGCGGAAGAGGAAGCGGTGGAAGTGGCTGCGATGGCGAAGAGCCTTATTCCGACGTCTCGCTTGAAGAGGACGTCATAGATCTCAATCACAAGGTCTCTTTGCCGCTCTGTTTCGATGACAACGAACGATTTCGTATTCTAGTGCAGTAGTTGTTCTGTTGCTTTTTTACTTCCGTTTTTTGAGCCCTCGACAAAAAATTTAGTTTTTATTCCATAATCATGGTACAATATAACTCAGTCTATATTAGCTAATGACCGAGTACCGTTACCCAGATAATCGAATGCAGTATCTTGGATTTTCGGAAATCGAAGCATTTTACTATGAAAGCGAGTGTCGCAAGTTAACGTTGCATAATCATCGTTCCCTCGAATTTCGCAGTACATTAACCCAAAATAAGAACTAATCGACGGAAATGGGCTAAAATTTACGTGGTTTTTCGTATCGATTTTTCGTCCACTGAATTAATCGAAATTTGTGTTCGGGTAATCAAAGCCAGAATAACGGAAGTTCTGCACTTTTTGGCTTCAAATAAAACATTTGCGAACGTAGTTTTCTATGCCCGCGATTGCGTTGGTTTAACCGGATTTTCTTATTTTTCACATGTTCTTCTACTACAGTATATACAAATTTATTGAAGCATCAGACGTTTGAGTTATTAATGCGAAGGGTGAACTATGTTTCGACGAAGGTGAAACTTTCATTTTTTCCCTCACAGCTTCATTGCTTACAAAAGAAAGCCCTATTTAATTGCTTACAGAGCGTCTACGAACTTTACTCAACCCCATGGGCGATGTTTTCGAAGCCCGGCATTGTTGAATGGCTGAGCTAATGATTGTTTTGTTTTTGTTGCCGTGGTAACTGGATCAACCACTGAATGGCCGAGAATAGCTGTGTACATTTTACGTTACGATTTTGCAGGTAAATTTGCTGCAGGAGCAGATCTCTGCGTTGGCCGACAACCAGAATACAACTGACGATCGGTACCAGAAGGTCAAGCATGAGAACTCGACACTGAACTCCAGGTGCGTGTGTGTATATATACTGTACTGTACACGCTATGGATGATGCAGGGACAGGGGCATCGATTTTTATCGATCAAGCGACGAGTTTGTTGTTTGTCGCCCTCCCCCGTCAGACAAAGGCCGGTTACGATTGCTGCTTTTCTGACGCAGACTGACGGGACTGTTACCAACGTGACTTTTCGGAAATCCCCTTTTCGAACTTTGTGTATCTTTTTTTGTGGAAAATTTTGGAGGGGGGAGTCGTGACGAGTGTATTTTTGAACTCTCGTGGGCTAATTCAGTAATTTACGAAAGTTCACGTGACCTTTGGCGGATTTGATGCACTGGATTTTTTTCCGCGTCGAGGTTGACTCGTGAAAAGTACAGCTAGTTTCTGATGAAAAAAATTGAACGGGATTGCCGTTATTTTGTGACGCATTTTCCACTCCTCCAAATGTTTTTGCATTTTTTCGGCCGCCATAGAGTTTGTTCAGTTTAGATCCTGCAGCAACACTTGATATGATCGCCGCCCTTCTAAAGTTGCATCAAAGTTTTCACTGAAAGTTATTTCTATAGAGAAGTCAAATCTTGATTTTTTCTTGAGAAACTAACGTATTCGATGAAGTTCTTGAAATAATTCTTGAATAGGAGTGATGCAACAGTAACTGATGACGTCGGCGATCGTAAAATGCTGATGGGAATTGTAATTCACCAAGTATACAAATAGAAAAAAAGAAGGATGCATCTGCTGAAGGGTAACAATACAGTATTTTTCTTTGAATGTATAATCGTTGAGAGAAATTGTTTTTCGCTTTTGTCGAAGGATTTTAGGACAGTACCCGATTCGCTGAAGTTTCTTGTCAATCGTAAGAAAAATTAAACAATTGCCGTGTGATCAGTACGGTAAAGTTCTGTCGATTTCTGGAACATTCGAAAAGAAGAAAAATGATTCTCAGAATTATCCGAAGCGTTACAATTTCACTTGAAGATTTGTCTTAAACATGTTTGTGTTTATTTTTGTTCAATTGTCGAAAAACGCTTTAGAAAAATAATTTGAAAATAATTATTCATGCTTTCTCGCAGAATCCAGATGCTGGAGGAACAATTGAGAGAGCTTGAGATGCGAGGGGAAGACCAGTTGGTGAGCGAGCAGAAACGATGCCGTGAGCTGGTCGCGAGAATCGAGCGC